TTTTTTTTGTCGACAATTTTTTTTTCGTTTAAAAGCTCAAAGTACAAATGGAGAGAATTAAACCTACTCCGACATTACTACAACATAAATGAAGTGCAATACAATAAAAAGCGGATAGGTCATCGTAGAAGATGATAGACAGCAGATCCAAAGGATGCATCAGATGCGTTAGAAGGGTATTCGCGGCAAAGTCAGAGATTCTCAGTTTAGTCACTTTACCATGTGATTTTGAAGTTCCCGGCATAAAGCACGGGGATTCGACCACTCTCCATGAGAGGGAAGAAGGTACAACCATGCTCAAAGAGATGGAAGCTGGTGGAATTGAATTCGTCCACCGAGAGTACATTACATGATTTGAGAATCTAGAAAACTTTGATCTTCTCTCCACAGAAAAGATTTCTAGCTCTCAAATATCTGGATTTGAGTATCCAAAAAAAATTGGCCCTCTCATACGTGGAGTTATGACTCTCGACGCTTGATGGAATGAAGCACATTGAAGGCGAATTGGTCTCTTTAGGCTCGATTTGGAGGACAAAAATTTTAACGAGCTCTGTAACAGCTTGCCTAAATCGGCAAGAAGGGCAGTATCACTATGCATAGATAATTCATGAGCTTTGCCAAGGAGGAAATTATGGCCATCAGACATTACAATTTCTGCCATGTCCGTGGTCAGTGGATTGCAAGATGGGCTATACCTCCATAATTTTGGATTATTAGAGAGAAACTGGGTCTGGCCCATTAAGATCATCTGTTTGTAGAGGCCTCGACATAGGCTTTTGGAGTGCTTTATCCGGCCCACCTCCTCTAAACCAATCTGGTTGAAGCCCACTGGGCCCAATAAACCAGAGGCGACGGCTGAGGGATCATCGGACGTTGCGACTCGCGGTTTCCGTATCTCAGGAGAAGCGACGATGCGGGACGGTGACAGAGTCTTCGGAGCAAGCTGTAAAGCCGGAGACAGGGATAGCGGAAGGAGCATCGGCGGAGGATGGGACCACAGCGTTGCGACTCGAGATTTCCAAATCTCAGGGGAAATGACGCAGATGGACGGTGACAGATTCTCCGGAGCAAGAAATGAAGCCGGAGACAGGGACCACGACAGCGGGTCAGGCGGGATTGGAGGATCTGGGAGTCCTTTGGTATTGGGATTTCCAGCTTAGCCGGCAAGACCAAGTTCCGGTCAAAAATCCCAGTTAGCTCCCTAGCAGATGGTGACAGAAAGGATGAGAGAGAGCACTAACCTTGTTACAGTTCTGCAACCCACGGAACAGATCGACGGGGCCGAGGGATGAGACACAACGACAACAACATCTCCGGCAGAAGGAGGCGAGGAGACGCCAATCTTTTGGAGAACTTCGTAACATCCCAGAGGAGGAGGACCGGTGCTACGAGCAGATGGGTAGATCTGGACGGCGGAGCATCGGCGGAGGTGATGCAACTGTTGTTACCGGTGGCTCCTCGGGGAGTATGCCCGAGAGAGTAGGGCAAACTGTGTTTTATCTTTTTTTATTTTCTATTTTTTATGAAGGTATATGTCGTATAGTGATTTTATTGATAAGGTAGAAAACAGACAGAACGTGTTCAATTTTTTGGCTCATCCGACTCGGTAGCATTCATAAACTGCTCTTTCAACTGTTCTTCGGAGAGAAGGTTGAAAGTACCATGCATGCATGGTTGCCATCTATCTTTAATTTTTTTTTGTCCCACCCAAAAAGAAAGAGATTAAACTAAGGGTTATTATAAAATATTGATAATATCAAAACATGATTATCTATATTTGATTCCGCTTACTTATTTTATTGTTTTATTCCTTATCAAAGAAATCAATTAATCGACTTAAATCTCCTATATAAAGGAGTGTTGTTCATCTAAGAAGGCTAATTAAAAATAAAATCAGCTTTTCTCCTTCTGCCTTATTTTCTCTACGCATACAAACACATATATTATACTCATATAAAATTCACCTTATAGTATATAGTTTATAATACGTTATCAGCACGACCATCTTTATATTCATACTGTATAATCCTATACCGTGTCATATCAAAAGGGTGGG